TCAACCTCCTCCAGGGCGCCCACTAGCTCCACTGGGACTCGCCCAGTCACTCCCTCATACTCCTGCAGATACAATCTCCAGCGACTGGATGAAACATCAACATCCGTGCATGACCGAGACAAACCTGATAACGCCACCGGCCTTCTGGAACTCTGCCTCGGGCACCGAGGCCAAATCTCATCTCTTCACTTCTGCGTCACTCCAAGAGGAGCGAGAACAGCCGCGACCGTGAGAGGCTTTGCCTAGACCCAGGCTGGCCAGGCCAGCAGTCGGGACAGAGCCGGGCGGGCGACATGGTCATGGCCGGAGCTCTGTGCGCCGGGGAGCCGAGCTCATCGGCCATTAACACCGCAGAGCAGTTCTTGGTTACTGTGACGGAATAAACTACGGATTTCAGTTAGGCAACTAGTCACGGGCCTCGGGCACCATGGCCAAATCCACTCCTTCGGATTTCCGCGGAGCTCCGGGCCGAGAAAACTCACAGCGGACACCTGGTGGCAGCCGTCAACCGGATGGATCATCATCAAGGGAGGCCACGGCCCAGCACGTCACCCAATTTTAATCGGTCCACCTCAGAGCACGACTCTTGCCCGGGCCGGAGCTGGGAGGAGAGGCTGGTGGCTCAGCACAGGGTCCTCTCTTGTGCGCGCGAGAGATCACACGCATGGCTTTGCGAAGCCTGAGGGGAGCCTCGGAGACAGCAAACGAGGCGCTGTATCATCCTTGTCGACCTTCTTCGTCGACGGAGGGCCACAGACTCGGGAGGAGGACGCCTGACTTAGGAGCACGAAGCCTTTGTGAGACAGTCGCCCTGTACGCAGCCGACTGCAGATTCGCCGTGTGCCCGACGTGAGGACACGCGCTGCCCTTCCGCACTGGAGCCCAAAGACAGGAACGCATTGCAAGCCCCGTGTACAAAGAGGCGGCTTCCACATCCAGGCGGGTGGCATCAGCCAGAGGAACGAAGACAAGGAAGGGGTCTTGGTCATGCCCGGAGCTCTGTGCCCCCGGGGACCCTGTACAAAGAGGCGGCTTCCACATCCAGGCGGGTGGCATCAGCCAGAGGAACGAAGACAAGGAAGGGGTCTTGGTCATGCCCGGAGCTCTGTGCACCCGGGGAGCCGACCTCATAGGCCACTAACACCGCAGAGCGTGTCTTGGCTTAGGTGGTGGAAGAAAATACGCATTTTTGGGCACCACAACGGGTGACAGGGCGGTCCACACATCATGGAAGGCTCCTTGACTACGGGCATCCATCGACAACCCATACCTATCGCGCCAGAGCTCCAGTGTTCGCTCCCACATGCAGGGACCGATCCGTCTGCATTTCTGCGGAGACGTCTCGGACGCCCAGGACTCACGAGGACCCAGCCGGCCCGCGGCCTCCTACCGCGTGCTCAGTGTCAGTTTTCCCATTCTCCATCACAGAAGCCAGACCCGAAAATGTAAGGAAAACGCTTCAGGATGTTGGGACTTGGGCTGGCCTTTACCTCTGAGGTGTGCGGGCGTCCGGGCACCGGACACCATCTCCCGTTCTACTGCAGCAACCTTGGTCGCTTTCCGTGGGTTAGGACCGCAGGCGGACGCTCGGCGACCCCCTTCAGGGTGTCCACCACCTCCACTGTGAGTTGCAGTCACATTTCTGTGCTCCTGCAGGTACAATCTCCAGTGACTAGACAAAGCACCGACATCTGCGCGTGACCGGGATAAAGCTGACAACACCGCCAGGCTCCTGGAACTCTGACGTGCACTGTGGCAAAATCCCACTCCTTCCGATTTTCGCGGAGCTCCACAGGGTGACAACTATAACAGCGGACACCAGGTGGCGACTGTCACCCGAATGGATCCTCATCATGGTCGGCCATGGCTCACCGCGTGCCATCACATCATCCAATCGTAATTGGTCCACCATGGAGCGCAACTCTTGCCCCGGCACATGCTGGGAGAGGCTGGCGGCTCAGCAAACAGCGTCCTCTCTTGCGCGCATGTGGTTTCGACCAGGAGAGCGCGAGCGATCACGTTCATGGCTCTGCGAAGACCGAGGGGAGCACCGCAGACAGCAACCGGACGGGCTGCATTAGCCTCGCCGACTTTCTCATGTGATGGCGGGCCACAGATTCGTGAGGAAGACACTTGACCATGGGGCACAAAGTGTGTGCAGCAGTTGCCCTGTCCTCACTAGGGTCCAGACGTGGCGTGTGTCCGGTGTGAGGACTGCTGCGGCCTTTCCACACTGGAGCCCAGAAACAAGACCGCAGGCTTAGCCCCAGGCAGCGGCTCCCACATCCAGGCGGGCGGCATCAGCCAGAGGAACGGATCGGAGTACGGTCAATGTCATGCCCGGAGCTCTGTGCGCCAGGGGTGCCGACCGCATCGACTACTAACACCGCAGAGTGGGTCTTGGCTCACGTGTCAGAAGATAATACGAATTTTGAGAACTGCAACTGGTGATGGGGTGGTCGTACAGGTCACGAAAGGCTCCTTGACCATGGCGCATCCAAGAACGTTCCCATCACTGCCATGCCAGAGCTCGACTGCGTCCACGCGCAGGGCCAGGTCTGTCCGCATTTCGTCAGAGAAACATCGGATGCCCAGGACTCACCAGGACCCGGCCCGCCCGCGGCCTCCTACCCCGGGCCCATGTCCATTTCCACATTCTCCACTGCGGAAGCCAGACCAGAAAATTTGAGAAACGCATTCGGGATGTTGGGACCCAGGCTGGCCTTCATCTCTGCTGTGTGCGGCTGTCCGGGTGCCGGACACCATCTCCTGTTCTCCCGCGGCAAGCCTCGTAGCCTTCCGCGGGGTAGGGCCAATGGCCGGTGCTGGTCGACCCCCACCAGGGTGCCACCACCTTCACTGGGACTTGCACAGTCACTCCCTCGATCTCCTGCAGATACAATCTGCAGTGACTGGACAAAACATTAACAGCCGCCCGCAGCCGGGACAAACCTGATAATGCCGCCGGCTTCCTGGAACTCTGCCTCGGGCACTGTGGCCAAATCCCACTCCTTCCAATTTCCACGGAGCTCCGGGGCGAGAAAACAGCGGCCACCAGGTAGCAACCGCTAGCCAGATGAATCGTCATCACGGGCAGCCACGGCCCACCGCGGGCCGTCATGTCATCCAATCTTAATCGGTCCACCTCAAAGCGCGACTCTTATCTGGGCCGGAGCTGGGAGGAGAGGCTGGTGGCTCAGCCAGCAGAGCGTCCTCTCTCGTGCGTGCGAGTGGCCTCTGGCCAGGAGAGCGCGAACGATCACGTGCATGGCTCTGCGAAGCTCAAGTGGAGCCCTGGAGACAGCACCTGGAGGGACTGTGTCAACCTCATCGACCTTCCCATGCGGCAGCGGGCCACAGTCTCGGAAGGAGTATGCCTGATGACCGTACACGAAGCCTTCGTGGTACAGTCGCCTTGTCCGCATCAGGCTCCTGCACGGTGTGTGCCCGGCATGAGGACACCCGCCGCCCTTTCGTTTCTCAGCCCGGACACAGGACCGCAGCCAAGCCCGGGGCTCACTGGAGCCACTTCCCACATCCAGGCGGGTGGCATCAGCCAGAAGAATGGAGC